TTAGTTGACAGTTATTTCCTCCAGGGGGAAAAAAAAAAAAGCCAGCTTAAGTGTCTATGTATAGAGAAAGGCAAAGTTTTTTATTTGTTTTCAGAATTTGCCCTTGAGGCATTTCTAGAAAGGAAGTAAACATAGATAATGATATCAGACCTGTTATCTCAAAGTAAGGGAGAAAAAAATGTTCCAAGTGTCAAAAATCCAAACATCCGCACCAAAATTACTTTGTCTCCAGGTTATCATTTAGATTCCTAAGCACAGAATTAGGCACTATTTTAAGTATTGTTTTTGAGTATTACTTAAATATTATTTCACACACACATAAATATACACACTCCAACACAAATATTGAATATCTGTGTGTGTAAATTGAACACATATATAACAGATACACTATATATACAAACTTGTATATGTATGTGTGTCTAGATGGAAGCAGCATAGTGCTTTCCAAAACCAACCACATATTTTGAAAAGCGAAATTCATTCAAAACACAAACCAGCAAATCAATTCTCCTCCCCTGGAGAGATCTGATGATTTTAAGGTCCCGAGCATAAGTACTTCTGGCTCTTTCTAGCAGGCATAATCCCAAGGTAGTGTCTCTAAAGGCAAACATACTTTTGTGGTAGATAACTGTTTTCTTGGCCTCTGAATAACTATGACCACATTCTCATGAAGAAAATTGTGGCCTGTGTTGCCAGTTATTTTATTTTTCCAGAGTAGGATAAATTCCCATTCTAAGGCACAGGAATTAAAGTTCCTAAGGGAAAAGCCCATGTCGCATTACCATTGGGAGGGTGTCTCTCAAATTCTCATCTGTAATGACAATATAGTTGTGATGGAGACTTTACGTTACGTTCTATACCTGGAACGTGTGTGTGTGTGTGTGTGTGTGTGTGTGTGTGTATCTCAGCACCTTCAAGTATACATGCAAAACTCCAGCAGAGTTTAGCTGCAGCTGTGAGTAGTAGCTTTTAATTATCTCATTTTCTTCATCTCTATTATCTTGAGTTAATTATCACTCATTATTATTTATCCTTATTTAGTCAGGCATTTATACAGTCTCCGTTCTGTATCTGGCACTGTACCTGGTAACGTGCATGAAAAGATTATTTCTTTCTTCATTTATTTCAACCCGTATATTCTGTGAAGATTTGGGGATGTGCAAACGTAAAGATTCCTGCCCTGGAAGGGCTTATAGTCTTATTTCCTTTAGCATTTCCAGAGAATCAATCCTTAACATTTGCCTGTTATTTATAAAATGTCTAATCTTATCATGTAAATATTTCACCTTATTTGTAGTCAAGAACAAAGCACATAACTCCTCATGAATCAGTTTTCCTAAGGAAGCTCTCCTAGGAAAGCTTGTCATGTCAACAGATAGGGATTCAGGCCAGAGCCACCTGTGTTACACTTGTCTAAATATTGGAGTTTGTAATCACGCAGGAAGAACAGAGCTCATGTTTCCATGTTTCTTCCAATCAGTAGCTCTTTTTTTCTCTGAGATAGCAAAAAAAAAAAATGCACTGATCTGCTAGAAGAGACAAATGTAACAGAAAGAATACATGTGAAAATAGTTGACAAGTTGAAAGTCTGATATAATTTATCATTATAACTTTAAACATTGGTAAACTTAGAAACTTTGGCATCTGGCTTTGGAGCTTTAAACCCTTACAAAAGAACGTTTTATTCCACGAACCACAGGTGGCCAAGGTGTAGACCTTTGCTTAATGTGTTTTTTAATTTCACAAATACGGAGCTCTTTAAATGTCTTCTGTTTAACTTATTTGAACATCAGCATGCACAGCTTTTTAAATATGAAGCTTTGGAGTCAAATTCCAAGTCTAACAACTGAATCTGATTCTGCATCCATAAAACAGAACACATCTGACAGTGGTTTTGACCTGGAGAACTTTCAGATCTTTTTTTAAAAAAACAAAAATTTTTAACAAGTATTGTTGTGTCTAAGATTGGGTTGTCCCAGAGCAGGCATTAAGACAAAGATGAGAAAACACGCAGTGTTTTTTTTTGGTTTTGTTTTTTGTTTCTTTGAGATGGAGTCTCGACTGTCGCCCAGGCTGAAGTGCAGTTGCATGATCTTGGCTGACTGCAACCTCCACCTCCCAGGTTCAAGTGATTCTCTTGCCTCAGCCTCTGGAGTAGCTGGGACTACAGGTGCACACCACCATACCCAACTAATTTTTGTATGTTTAGTAGAGATGGTGTTTCACCATGTTGGCCAGGATGGTCTCGATCTCTTGACTTTGTGATCTGCCCGCCTCGGCCTCCCAAAGTGCTGGGATTACAGGTGTGTACCACCGCACCCGGCCTAACAAGCAGTATATTTAAGTAATTCTGAGAAATACTGATAAGAGTAGAAAAGAGAGACGTGGAAAGGAAGAATGCAGTAAAGATGATCATCAAGCTAGCTACCACTATAGGCAATCAGGGCCCCATCTTGCTGGGAAAAGCAAAGAATCAGAGAACAGACCGCAGTTATCCCACTTGACTGATAAGGAAGCTGGGCCACTTTCTTTCTAATTCCTGACTGTAACTGACTAAGGGCCATTCCCAGAGACACTAAGCCCTCAAGGGAAGAATCATCACAGTCCGTCTTTGTTCACAGGCATGGTCTGTTAGTCAGGGTTCTCTAGAGGGACAGAATTAATAAGATAGATGTATATATAAAGGGGAGTTTATTAATGAGTATTGACTCACACGATCACAAGGTGAAGTCCCACAATAGGCCATCTGCAAGCTGAGGAGCAAGGAAGGCAGTCCGAGTCCCAAAGCTGAAGAACCTGGAGTTCAGAGTTTGAGGGCAGAAAGCATCCAGCACCGGAGAAAGATGGAGGCCAGAAGACTGAACCAGTCTAGTTGTTCCTCGTTCCTCTGCCTGCTTGTATTCTGGCTGCGCTGGCAGCTGATTAAATGGTGCCCACCAGATTAAGGTTGGGTCTGCCTTTCCCCGTCCAGTGACTCAAATGTTAATCTCCTTTGGCAACACCCTCACAGACACACCAATGAACAATACTTTGCATTCTTCAATCCAGTCAAGTTGACACACAGCATCATATATACAAAAGGTGAGCACCAAGGCTATAAGTCATTTTTCTGTGCAAATTCCATTACACCAATTTAATTCCTGAATTTGTTTTCCATATGGAATGGCCAAATAGGACCTTCCTCTTCCTTTGTTTTTTGTTTTTCTATTTTCATTCCTATTCTGCTAGAATTAACCAATTATAGTTTCAACAGTTACGTCTTCTTCTGTGGCCTTTGTTTCTACCAAGTCCAGGTTTCTTTTTCTCTTTTTAAATTTATTTTAGATTCAGTGGGTACATGTGCATGTTTGTTACATGGGTATATTGCATAAAGGGGTTTAGGTTTATAGTGTACTCATCACTCAGACATTGAACACTGGACTCAGTGGGTAATTCTTCAACCTTTATCTCCCTCCCTGCTTCCACCCTTTTGGAGTCCCCAATGGCCATCATTACCATCTTTATGTCTCTGTGTACTCATTGTTTTAGCCCCCACTTATAAGTGAGAACATCCAATATTTGATTTTCTGTTTCTGAGTTCACTTAGGATGATGGCATCTAGTTCCATCCATGCTGCTCCAAAGGACATGATTTCCTTCATTTTTATGGCTACATAATATGCCATGGTGTTTATGTATGACATGTTCTTTATCCAATCTACTGTTGATGGACACTTAGGTTTTTTCCATAGAGGTCCAGTTTTCTTGAATCTAAATTTTGCTCTGCAGATTTAGCCATTGTCATGTTTTATTGTGTTTGATTGCTTCTACTAGGAACAGCCATTGTAAATGAGATTAGTCGATAGTTTGACCTCTGTGTTAGCCAATCACTGAAATAATTATGAGCATTCCCTCTTACCTAGTCCAGGACTGCTCAACTGCCATCACTCAGTTCCATCACTTACCTACCTGTGTGAATGTTAGGAAATGTATAGTTTAGACTTCTTAAGTCTCAACTGACTCATTTGCAAAATTGTGCTAATAATAAAGATCTCCTACCTTCTTGTTAAAAATCAATTAAAGGAAATCCTTTAAAAGGACATCTGGCATAGAGTGTTGTTCCCTGTGCTTTTGTTAACATTGCTGTTGTTACTTAAGGTTATTACAATATGTTAGTTATTTTATATACTACTGATTGCTTTGCAAAAGTATACTCACCACCCATACTAATTGTAAAGAGCAAACGGTTGCGTCAAAATGACGATCAGAATGTCGCACTTCTGGGTGAATAATCCTTCCTCATAGGGTATTTGCTGGTGAGAGAGATAACATGAAAAATGTGTGATGAGCCTGGTACCTAGCAGACACTAAGCATGTGACTTTTCCCCTTTCCTTCCTGGGGGTATGTGCCTTGAACTTGGAGGATAGGAAAGTGACGGGATGATGAGTTTCTAGAAATTGGCCTTCGTGGCCAGGTGCGGTGGCTCACGCCTGTAATCCCAACACTTTAGGAGGCTGAATTGGGTGGATCACTAGGTCAGCAGATGGAGACAATCCTGGCTAACATGGTGAAACCCCATCTCTACCAAAAATACAAAAAATTAGCCAGGCGCCGTGGCAAGCACCTGTAATCTCAGCTACTCAGGAGGCTGAGGCAGGAGAATCGCTTGAACCCCAGAGGCGGAGGTTGCAGTGAGCCGAGACACGCCACTGCACTCCAGCCTGGGTGACAGAACGAGACTCCATCTCAAAAAAAAAAAGAAAAAAGAAAAAAGAAATTGGCCTTCTTAAGCACAGAAAGGTTTGAGATCTACTGAGTGCTGTTTTATCAAGTTGGTTATAATGAAACTCCAACATCCTTTCCAAAATGCCTTAAGAAAGGTGTGATTTCCTCTTCTAATTTTGTGAGTCTCATACAGTCGGCATGTAGGGGTCTTCTATGTGCTACTTATGATTATGAACTTAGTAAACTGTTTCTATACGATTCATGCTTGTGTTTCGTGTTTTTGCCTTTTTAAGATTTGATTGTGGGTGCATTTGGAACAGGAAAAGTCGCTGTTTACAGGTACGTAGTTGGTAGCATTCAAATGTTTTTCTCATAGTTTCAAATACAGTTTCTCGTTAGTTTTGCCTTAAGGAGCACGTTTCAGCAATTTATTCTGGTGAATATTTAGATGTTCTTTTTAAAGTCTAGAGGTACCTTTTGCTCTCACTCTTTCTTTCCTTTGTATTCTTACTTTCATATTGCATGACCAAACTTCCAGATTTTATGAACATAATGTGAAATAAGATACAAACTGAAGCAGTCTTATAAAACAACCCACTTTTTAGATGTTACCGTATTTGATTTATTATCTTTGCTTTGGAAATGCATTGAAATGTTCACTTGTAAATAAAGGGTGCAGGGTAGAAGAATGTTACTATTTATCCTGGCTTCTATAATCAAACTGGTCACTTATTAAGGAATAGAACATTCCAGGAGTAGGTAGCCTCCAAAGACAAGTATTGAAAACAATTCAAATACAACAGCCATAGATTCCAAGCCTGGACATTCCATATACTCACTGATTTGTAATCTTGGGCAAGTTCTTATCGCTTTCAGAGTTTCAGATTTCTGATCTGTAAATGAAGGATAACAATATTTATAAGGTTACCTCTGTTCAAAGGATTCAATGAGAATATGCATGTGGCATACACAGAATAGTAACTGGGAGAGGGGTGTTGCTCAACTTTAGCTGCTTTTTTAAAAAAAACATTTTATGGCAGGACACAGTGCCTCATGCCTATAATCCCAGCACTTTGGAAGGCCGAGGCCGGCAGATCACTTGAGGTCTGGAGTTTGAGACCAGCCTGGCCAACACAGCAAAACCCCATCTCTACTAAAGATACAAAAAGTAGCCAGGCATAGTGGCGCATGCCTGTAATCCCAACTACTCAAGAGGCTGAGGCACGAGAATCACTTGGACCCGAGAGGTGGTGGAGGTTGTAGTGACCAGAGATTGTGCCACTGCGTTCCAGCTTGGGCAACAGAGAAAGACTACATCTCAAGAAAAAAAAAAATTTTATGAGAATTCAAGACACTAGGTCAGGATATCAAGACAAAAGGCCAAGGGCATTCCAGGGTGTACTAGGCGTACAGTGTTAACCTAGTCAGCTCCCAAAGAGGTTCAAAGGTTAGGTTTCCTCACATAGGTGAGGTGTTCTTCTTCATCAGTTCCAAGACAAACTCAAAGAGGGTTGATTTGTACCAACCATGTCCTGCTTAAAGTTCTAGAGAATCAGTTGAAACCCTCAAGTTGTCTGGAGTATGGGGCTTGGGTTTGCGGCGGCCATGGAGTGCACCACTCAGAGCTGCTGGAGCAGAATGGACACAGAGCCCAGTTGCTGTGCTTCCAATCTGCCAAGGCCATGTTTTCCATGAGTTTTCATGCCAAGGCTGTGTTTTCCATGAGCTGCTCCCAGCCAATTAGCGGGAACAACAAGAACACAAATACAGGCCTGTTTTTGCAAGACATGGAACTCCTCTCACGGGCAGATTTAGCTCAAGCACTCTCCATTGCTCAGGCCAGAACTTTCTTCTCTAGTCCTCTGTCCTTCCCTTGATCCTACCAGGGATCAGAACTCCCAGCCCCCTCCACTCTCTTCCCACTTTTCCTCATAGATGTTTGACCCCAATACATCTTTTGCATATCTAGTTCTGTTTTATCATCTGTTTTTCCAAGGGCTGAAACTAACAAAGTACTGAAAGCAAAATCATGTAACAAAATACAGACAAGTAGCATGAAGGAACTTAGGAGAAATCCCAGCAGGTACACTGCTTATTGTTTCAGGCAGTACTGTAAACCCATTCTGCCCCAAGACGTAGCCCTTCCTCTTGTAGGGGAAAACTTATCCAACATGGCGTCATTTCTCCCTGTCATTTGGGGACGTTGGCTTCCAACTGTCACATCTTGGAACCAAGCTATAAAATCTGCTCCATTCCCTTCCCCCATGATTTATTCATACTTTTTTCTTTTGTTACCCTCATCTAGTTGGCTGAAATTGAGTTTACTTACACCCTATCAGTCTCTCTCCTCAAATTTGGCTACATATTAGAATCATCTGGAGAGTTTAAAATTCCAGTGTCTGGTCCTTACACCATAGGTTCTGGATCAGTTGGTGTGGCAGGGCCTGGGCATGGAATTTGTTTTAAAGCTCTCTGGGTGATTATATCGTGCAGGCAGGATTGAGAACCACGTCTCTGACTGATGTACAGAATTATTCTGAAAACCCACCGTCATGTGTTAGCTAAATTTGCAAAGCTCAACTTGAAAACTATCAATGGAAATTTAAAAATCATCAATGATGCAACAAAATTTGCAAACTTCAAGTGTTCACGGATACAAATGGCTGTAAGATGATGTATTTCATCAGATACAGATATAGATAACGCTAGCAGATAGGAGAGCAATATTTCATAGCAATATTGCCATAATACTGGAGGCCCACTTCGTAAAGAAATTAGGTTTGTGTATGCAACTTTGCTTGACAGACTTATAGCACTCTTTGTGTTTGTGTACTTCCAGGTGTGTTTTGAGGTAATTGGCTGAGTGTGGTGCCTACCTGTTCATGCAGTCAGCAGAATTCTTAGCACAAATGCTGAGAACGTTGCCAATGGCCTCTGAAAGTATTCTGTCTACTGCGGAGTTCAGTCTGCATGAAGTGGGCTTCTTCCTGCCTGTCACCTATGTGGTTTATTCAAACAAACCCTGCATTTTCTCCCTGCAGAGCAAGACCGGTTGTGACTGTAGATGCCCAGCTTCTGCTGAACCCAGTGATTATCAATCTTGAAAATAAAACTTGCCAGATTCCAGACTCTACGACCTCCGCAGCCTGGTGAGTTAGTCCAGGGCTTCTCAAACTCCAATGTGAATTCACATCACATGGGTGTCTTGTGAAAAATACAGGTTTGGATTCAGTAAGTCTGGGGTGATGCCTAGATTTTGCATTTCTAGAAAAAAGCTTCAGGAGATGCTGATGCTACTGTTCTGTGGCCCAAGTTTGAGTGGCAAGGAATTAGTCTTGCAAGAGAACCTATGATATGGTGCTGTTCTTTGGCTATCGGCTTATCATTCAAAGGCTACTTCTCTAATCTACAGTCTCTAGGTGATATGAAAGGTATAAAAACATTTGGAGAAATTCCCAATGAAACAGATCTTGGAGATCACTTTTAGATTCTTGGTATACTAAAATAAACACAAGCCAAGGTAAAAATATAACAAAATATCTAGACTCTTACATTTTGGCATATGCTTATAGATACTGCTATACTGCTTTTCAGGCACATATAATATCCTTCCCTCCCTCCCTCCCTCCCTCCCTTCCTTCCTTCCTTCCTTCCTTCCCTCCTTCCTTCCTTCCTTTTCTTTCTTTTTTGAGATGGAGTCTCACTTTGTCACCCAGGCTGGAGGGCAGTGGCATAATCTTGGCTCACTGCAACCTCCGTCTCCCAGATTCAAGCAATTCTCATGTCTTAAGCCTCCCAAGTAGCTGGGATTATAGGCACCCACCACCATGCCTGGCTAATTTTTATATTTTTAGTAGAGACAGGGTTTCACTATGTTAGGCTGGTCTCAAGCTCCTGACCTCAGGTGATCTACCTGTCTCAGCCTCCCAAAGTGCTGGGATTACAGGCGTGAGCCACCGTGCCCAGCCAATGTCCCCTGACTCATCAATTTACTGGGTTCGTTTACTAGGTTTTCTGTGCTGACAACAGATGCCAGTTTTGTAACTTAACATATACAACTAGACAGAAGGAACACATTCTAAAAGTAAAGATTTTTTGTGCCATAAACTGTATTTTTGTGTCTGTCATAAGAATAGGGATTGAATTATTCCTTTTGCCTTGATGATGAGGCTTTGCCTGGACTTTCAGAAACTGGCTGATACAGCTTCTGAAAGTGTTCCTTCTGAATTTTGTTAGCCATCTGGAGGAAGCACAAGATGGAACTTGACTGTAACACTGCTCAAGAAAATACCACTTTGTTTCCTAGTATGAGGTCCTCAAGGGTTAAAAGTAACTGTGTTGGTTAACACCATCAGCGTATATCCTCTGAAAGATCAACAAACGCTTGGGGTGTTTAATGTTTTGCCCTTATTTTTCAGGAGATATGGTCTAACTCAAACAGTATTTTTGGTTTCTGAGAATGTCAGAATTGCAGAACTAACCAGTCTTGACCCAGAGAAGTTATTTTCAGCCAATTTTAACATGTTGTTGATGGCCTTTTGACAGGAGTTCATACTGGAGTGACAGCTTTTGAGGGTGGAGGGTGGGGACATAGAGGCCCCTGAAGAATTCTTTGAAAAACATCCTATTGCTGGCTGCTGGGGAGTGTGGCTGAGAGTGTCCTCTTCTTTAACTGCTTTTGAAAAGAGTTGGGAATTGCCCTGGGCACATTTTAAAATGGTTTAAAACCATAAAATAGTATAATGAAAACCTGATCTGAAAAATCGGTGAGAAAAGCAGCATCTCTCCTTACTCTTGCATGATTAAATGAGCAATCAATGAACTGTGAGAGCTGCTACTTGTTCATGAGTATTAAAACTTCAGTGTTTCCCCCAAATGGACCCATGTTCACACCTCCATAACTGAATGGACTTCTAGGCTGAATTCCTTTAAGCACATGTGGTACACTCTGATATAAAATGTTGTTGTTTTGAGCTAGATAACTGTTTCTAAGGGTTTTTAGTTTAATGGATATTTTTATAAGGTTGAAATGTTTTGCTTTTTTAACAGATTAAGAGTTCTGCTTGGTTGTATGGAAAGAATATTACTATTTAACAAGACAATGTTTTTCTTTTCATGAGCCGTTTTCTTACTGCATTTAGTCATATTATCAAGATAAAGTCCAATTTGTTATGTGGACAAATGTATATCCCTTTACAATTATATTTGTTTCTATTGCATACATTTTTCTGAAAGAGGTCTTATTTTCACATGCAAAATGTGTGAATGGTGCCTCAGAGTCTCAGAAGACAGTAAGTTAACAGCTGGTTCAGTCTAGAATGTGTTTCTTTGATTTTCTTTTTTCTTTATTTTAGGAATATACTTAGTTTTTCCAAAATGATTGAAAAGTCTCCGTTTTTTTTTCTCTGCTGTTATTTGTGTCTGTATTTGATATTACCTTATATCATACATCTGAAAACTATCACATAAACTCTACTTGGCAAATAGTTCTTCACTTCCATCGATGTGGATTTCTGTGTCTTTCAAACAGCTGTGTAATTTTAGAAAGTATCTATCTTTATTGGCATTTGTAAGTTAGTAAAAGAAAAAAAAAAGCCAGCTCAATAAATATTAATATAATTGGTGACTAACCAATTATAAAAAGAAAAACTATTTGGTGGAAAGCTTAATTTTAGAGATGTAAAAGTCCGTAACTACCCACCTGTCAAACCTGATTTTAAAAAAGTGTCAGATTTGAGTGACTATGTGAAACCTGCTATTTGCTGTCACCAAAATCGGATTGAAAACTGATGAGAACGTAAAATAAATTTCTTTGTACTTTCAAATTATGTTTCACATTTATCTTATTTTCTCTTCATCATAGACAGCTATGAGCACAGTCACATCACAGAATCATTCCAACCATGCTTGGGTTGGGACTAGCCTCAGAGGATCATGTAGTCTATTGCCCTGCCTTCTGGCCATATCAAAAGCACTGTCCACAAATAGCTTCATTTAGAATTTATGTAATAAGGGACCTGTGTTGATTTCATGGGTTTTTTTTGTTCCAATCAGTCTATTTAGACTAATGGGCCATACTGAAAATGACTAATATTTCTAGTTTGAAATTTTAATTCTAATTTAATAAAAGTTTATAGCTTTCCCTAAAGACCCAAGTATACTTTGTAATTAGCTATAGACCTGCAAGTTACCCTAATTTTGTGGTCTGTATGACCCATCATGTATGTGTGTTTATGTGTAATACAGTATATATGTTTTTCTAACTTCAGAGTGAATACATCAACCCACTACTATAGTCTGGAAATTTTCTTTATAGATCAGGAGAGAGTGCTTGAAAAATTATGACTTGACAGATACTTTTCCACTAAAGTAATCTATGAACTGGCAGGTTTAGGTTGGAGTGCCATTATTGATAATTCAGTAAATTGTAACTGATATTAAACTAGTATGAAAAAAAGTTAAAGTCATCCAGTTGTTAATGATATTCAGATAACATTAACTGAAAAGGGAGAATTAAGAAAGAAATAGAGATTCATACTGACATGTAATACACAAATCAATAGTAACCTTTTAGCTGACAACATCATTTATCAACCATACACATAAGGAAAAAATGTTCGTTCTTAGAACTTTATTCCTTTATTAAAATTTTTTTATTGCTTTTGAATTGTTTGTATTAAAAAATACTGTATCCAAAATAATTTTAGTGTATATATGTTGATTTCATTACAAATAGGAATTTGTTTTATAAAAGCTAATGACCTTTGTCTACACAGTTAATGGTGAATAGAAAAAAGATCATTGACCGATTTGAACATACTTGTTCAAATACTTCCAAAAAAGTTGGACACAGAAAATGCTAATTTTGAAAGCCAGACTTACTACAGAATTGAAAGATGTGATTAACTATTCATCTTTCTTGAATAATTCTTATTGAAGCAGAAGTGGGTTGGAATCTGTGATTTCTCTGGGGAAGTGGAATAAACACTTGTAATAGCATAGACATTTCAGGAAACTTTTGGCTTAATGGTATGTGGCAAATTATTTACCCTGAGGGAAGACATTGACTGAGGTCACGGTAGATAGATGAATCCCAGATGTGACACTTTTTCATTACATTTGACACAGGAAGCTGACACATAATTCAAGTATGATTGGGGATTATTTACTCCCTTTGAATTCTGTAGAAATATTCAAATCATACTATAGCGTTTTACTGGTAAAAAGTTTATGGTTGTCATTAAATCATACTTAAGCATTTTCTTATATTTTCACTTTCCTAGAAATGTGAAAGGGCTCCATCTCTAGTGATGGCTGTTAGGGCTTGGAATTTTTCAGGGAAAGGTGAGCACATTCATTCAACAAAGTCAGCCATCTCTCGTTCTATCTGTGGCCACAGACCAAAGCCAAGTGTGGTCATCCTATAAACCAGTGCGGACATTGATAGTGAAGGCACAACTCCAAAGTGTCTCACATGGACATCTGCCCTCTCATTATTATCTTTATGCCTGAATTGTTGTGCCTACATAGCTTGAGAAAGCCACGCTAAGCTTCCTTTCTCTTTCTCCCTTCCCTCTTCTCGTCTCTACCTCCAGTCTTACCCAAACTCTAGCAAGGTTCTGCCAAATGTCATCTCCTTCCCTGCAGAGTGGGTGTTTTCAGTTAAGCATACCATGGTGCTCCATGCTTCTAAGGATTAAATATGCATTTTCTAGCATGACTTTCAAGCCCGGTTCCTCACCGATCCACCAAGCCAGCCTCCCCTCCAACTTTGCCATCTTGCTCAGTGCCCCAACCACACTGAATTTCTTTAGTTTCCTCAAGTGGGTCCAGATTCTTACTCACCTCCAGATTTTACTTCTAGCTATCCTCTTGCCATGCTGCCTAATTTTTCCCTCCCTGGTACACGGAAGATACTTGCATGTATTTATTGAATAAAAGCAACAACTAATTAATTAAGCAATTGAGTAAATCAGTTAATATCATGCACTATCTTCCAATATTACCTTCCATGTAATAATAATGTCAATTGTGTTAATTGTATTAATGTTGAGACCAATTGGTAGAAGGGGTGGGTGTGTGTGTGTGTGTGTGTGTGTGTGTGTGTGTGTGTGTGTGTGTGGTAGAGGGGGTGTGGGGGGGGGGAGAAGGGGTGGGTGTGTGTGTGTGTGTGTGTGTGTGTGTGTGTGTGTGTGTGTGTGGTAGAAGGGATGTGTGTGTGTATAATTAGAAATATATAGAGAAAATGATATTCATTATCTGGGATGAGATAAAGAAAGCTTTCTACTTTAAATTCAAAACTTTATTAACCAATAAATTACTAACTATTATTTTCTATAGCTTTTCTTTGAGAGTATGTGCATCTGTCAGAGGCCAGAGCATTTCGAACACAATAGGTAAGCATGTTTTCATTTTTATATTCTTATACTCTACTCAGAAAGTTGAACAGTAAAATTTTCTCTGCACAGACCATATAAAATGGAAGGCACCTTGATGAATACCAAGGGTTTCTGTTGCATATATGGAATCTTCTACAAAAATATTACTTCAATAGTTGGTAATACTATTATTTATAAGAACATATAATTATAGGGAAAATAACAACTTTTATAAAACCATTATAAAACATTTTTAGCTTAGAGAGTATATTATAAAATTTTTCCAGCTCATTTATCATGCTTGATCTCAACTATGAAAAATAAATGTTTCCTGAATAAGCAACTTGAAATGGAAATTCATCTCTCTGATAGAGCACCGTGTTCACTGAATACTTTTTCTCTACTTTATTTCTGTCCTTTAGTCTTGATGGCAGAGGTGCAATTAGATTCCCTGAAACAGAAAGGGGCCATTAAACGGACGCTTTTCCTTGATAACCATCAGGCTCATCGCGTCTTCCCTCTTGTGATAAAACGGCAGAAATCTTCTCACCAGTGCCAGGATTTCATCATTTACCTTCGAGTAAGTATTCCAGAAAGACTCCTCTGGTCTCTCACCTTCATATCCAAATTCCAACCATTCTTCTCCATTTAACCATCATATTTGTCTGCATAGACCCCCATCCGTCTGTTTTCATTTTCAAAGCAGGAAACTTTATTTTAAGGTCAAATAAGCTCTTCTTGACCCTGACTTCAACTAACCTAATGATGTGTTGCTGTTAATTTCTAAGGCTTCTTTTCATTTTGAACAAAATCTTTATAATAGCCTTCTAAACTCGCATGGTTTTCATTTCTACCCGCCTCCTCCCCAAAAAACATAAAAGTGGAACACAATTTATGTGAATTTTTCTCCTATGTGAGTATGTCTTGTTAGATTTTATCAATGCACATTTCGGAGCCAACTCAGGAAAACATTTAGGCATTCAAAGCTTTTATTAGAAGTAATTTATAATTTACCTTCTTTAAAGTAGTGTATTTTTACAGTGACTTCAAAACCTACCAAAATTTAAAAAGTAAAAATGTTTATAACACAATTACCTTTCTTCACCTTGGCAGCTGTGAGGTTGTGATAACTGTCGCAATTTCTCTTTTCCATTAGGGGACTTACTTAGCAAGGGCCGCCCTAGGGAAGATCACAGGTTCACAATCACGCTCAAGAATGAAAAGTTGGATATATGACCCTTGACTGGCACACAATTGAAGGGTGACACATCCACTGTGTGTTTAGTGCTTGCTGTTTGGTGCTTACCCCTCCCCGCTAAAGGCGTTCTGTTTCTTTTTCCAAGAGAACTTCAAATGTCCTGAAGGCATTCTGAAACTCATGTAAGCAAGAGTTTTAAAAGATGATGAGAGGAAGAGAATCAAGATGTTTTCTTCTTCTGAGCCCCAGAGAACTCACAAATCCTAGCAACATGGAAACAAAAATCCAAATTCATGATGGTTTTTGTGACATTTATGGTATATGAATGTAATCTTTTACTTTGCAACTTGACCAATTCTGCGTGAGCTCTTGAAGGTCTGGAGAACCCAAAGATTGGCTCCAGAAACGTATTTCAATGAAGCCACAGCTCTAAATGATTTCATCACTGCACATATATTGAGTATACTGGCTACTATATGCCACATAAATCAGCCTGCATCTAAGCCTGCTGCAAAGATAATTGTTTCATCATTCACTTTCATTGAGTAAATTCCAGTGTTGCCTGATTTTTGCAGACTGACATCTTGCAGCTATTTCATGGAGCCTCTGTTGAGTTTGTGATTATTTTTCCTAGGATGAAACTGAATTCCGAGATAAATTATCTCCAATCAACATTAGTTTGAATTACAGTTTGGATGAATCCACCTTTAAAGAAGGCCTGGAAGTGAAACCAATATTGAACTACTACAGAGAAAACATTGTTAGTGAACAGGTAAGCCCTTGGCGGTCTTTGACAGCATTTGCTCAAGCAGGCTCTCTGGGGTGTTGTTCTTAGGGCTTTAAGACTAAAGCCAGCTCCTTTCCTTCTTATTTCTGGATGCAGACATGGAACATTGGGAGTTTTCCTACCCTGTTTCCTGAAACACTGCATGATTGCATTTTTCGGAAGCCTTTCCTCTTGTGCAACCAAGATTTAATTTGTTCAAAATGTGGCTATAATGGAAGCAATACAGCCTGTAATCCTCATGACATTGCCAGAGTTGCATTCTCTGCAGATATTTCAGAGTGCATTGGAATGGGGCTATCATGCAAAGTAGCCTGTATTGGGAGGTCACAGTGAAATGTAGGGCATTGGCTTGGGTAGAGTCATGCATAGTGAGAGGAAAACTCTGGTTCCATTTGTGGCAGCATTCAGAATTTTCAAGAAAAAGGATGTGATTCAGGTTTTCCTAGATTGTTCCTGATGCGTGTTTCTACAACACAGGCTCACATTCTGGTGGACTGTGGAGAAGACAATCTGTGTGTTCCTGACTTGAAGCTGTCAGCTAGACCGTAAGTTTAAATAACTAAACATGTGCATTCTATCTAATGGAATTACAAGTAGTAACTTAAAGGTTCTCTGCAGAAAGTCTACACTTCCAACGACTACCAAAAAATATGCTGTGTGAAATTCTTCAGCTTGGCTACACTTTGGGTTAGCCTGTGGATTGGGTCAGTTATTTTTCATTGGTGTCAAATGACACACCTTAAAATTTTGCCTGGGCCATTTCATCTTTCATCAAAAGCAAAAAAAAAAAAAATGTTTTTGTTGAAAGTAAACTGAACAAAAGTTGATGGGGTGGCTTGGGTTATATTTACTTGCCTCAGTCAAGTAGACGAAGGATTCTGACAGGCAGGTTCCATCTACACCTTAACCAAACTTTTTTTCAGCACCCCATGACTCAAAGGCATTCTTAAAACTCAAAACAAAATTAATTATAACTTACTGAAAAAACAAACTTAAATAGCACTCTCTGGAGTAAAGCAGAAGGTGTCACAAAATCAAGTAAGAATCAAAGGGCTGCACAGTTGCCAGGAGTGGACACCCCCATTCCAGCACTGGAAATTGCACTGCGTTCTGTTATGGGAAGACATAGACTCAAATGTAAAGCATCCTGTGGTCAATAAACAGGTTTGTGTTCCTTTCCCTCCCAGGAACTATCTCACTGCCAGTGTTTGGGATCTGCTTGGTAAATTCTCAAAGGCTCCTCCCCCAAATTTCATAATTTATCAACTTCAAATGCAATCACTTTGAGTAGGGTTAAAAAGTGGAATAGGGGATTTCTAGCTCTCTGGAATCCCCTCCCACATAGTGGGAGCTCTCTTTCCCCTCCCGAATTTCCCCTCTGGGGTCCTGCTTCCACACACTGTCTCTCTCATGGAAGGTTTCTCTCTTCTCCTGTCTTTCTCTCTATATATTCCCTTCCACTCAGCGTGGAAGCTGCTTTCCTCGCCTGGATTCCATCTTTCTGGATTCTCTCACTCAGTGTGAGAGGAGCTTTCCTCCTCTGGTTTTCCCCCTCTGGAAACCCTTCTCACTCAGTTTGAGAGAGGCTTTTCTTTCTCTCACTCAGTGTGAGAGTTAGCCATTTCTCTCTCCTTCTCCTTTGTCTCTCTGTGCTTTAAAAAATTAATTAAAAAAAAAAAAAAAAGAAAAGAAAAAGTGGAATAGACATTTCCAAATATTGGTTTGATTTGTAGTTCTAAGTGAACTACGTCTTTTAAAAATACCTTGAAATCCTCTACTGGTGATTTAAGATCTTATTGTATCTGCCTACTTCTTCCCTCTCAGTATTTCCTTTGTGTTAATCTCTCCTTCTTACTTTCCAAACCATCTCTCTTCCTTTTATTCCATTGCCCGTTTTCTTACTAATGTATGTTTTCAGTAACATGCTGAAGCTGCTTCATTCTGGGTTGTAAGTGAAATGTTAAATTTGCAGGAGCTTTGTTGGTAGATTATTAAATATGTTGGTAGCTTGAAGTTGACCACAGTGCATGGATTTACACCACTGGAATCTGAAAATGCTATAAATCAATACTTTTTTTTTAAAGAACTGGTTGTTAAACATTTACCAACATACTACTGCATGTTTTCCTACCCTTTTTACCCAGAGATGATTCTCTTGCCTCTTCCTACCATCTCTTCAAGATGGTCTGTCTTCTTTATTTTGCATTTGCCATTTTTCTTTTGCTCTTCGATAAATCCTTAAATAAAATATTCACGAAGCCAAGAAGTAGAGTACCTAATACTTCTTTTTAAACATCATTTTTAGAGATAAGCATCAGGTAATCATTGGAGATGAAAATCACCTGATGCTCATAATAAATGTGAGAAATGAAGGGGAAGGAGCCTATGAAGCTGAACTCTTTGTAATGATACCAGAAGAGGCAGATTACGTTGGGATCGAACGCAACAACAAGGTAATGCCTGCAAATTATTTGAAGTCAAGAGCTAAGTATATTTTTGAAGTCAAGTAAATCTTAAGAAGGGCCATCTTAGCTGAGAGTTTCTTCCTTAGTAAAAGGCATCAAAATGATACCTTCTTTTGTTAAATCATAATGACAATGAGCCATGAAGTAGGGGGCAGGGAATACACAACGAAAGATATTAATACTGTGTTATTCAAGAAAGAAGAAAATTGGATGATTATAAACCAGTCACTGGAGAAATTAGGATTTATATTGATTTTCATGTTAGAAATAACAGGGAAGTCAAAGCTGCCTGGAGGGAAGTGAAAGGTGACTTGAGACTTGAATTACACAGTATTAATATCTTCTTTACCACAGTGCAAAGATAAATTGGCCAAAGATTGAGAGCTAAAGCAAAAAAGAGAATTAGACTAGCTGAACAAAGAAGCTTACCAATGTGATCCATAAGCTAACCCCCCAAGCTAACTCCCTGTCTTCGCTGGGTTTTCTACCCTTGTGTTGAGTTCCTTTCAGTTTCAAGTGCATGTCGGGAAGCCTGGTTTTCATTATTGGTTGGGGAAGAAGGTCCAACCAATCCCTGCTAAGTATTGATAACAGTCTGGACAGGCACTGGAAGGGAAACAAGGTCCTTTTCCTTTCTGCTTGGTCCACCTTGCCAGAAATACAACCAGGAAGAGCCTAGTCTTCCTCATTTGTCATTCCTCAATGTCACTATTTGTTTAAAGGACAACAGTGTTCTTTACAATCTTCCCCTTCCTTATCAGAACATGAATCTTCCCATTCAAAGTATCCTCCAGTTCTGCAGTGTCCTTAATCACTTGATCTAGAAAACCATTACAAATACATCGCAGAATAACAGAGAAAGTCCCTCAGTGTTGGAAATATACAAACTCACAATTAAGGGTGAAACCCAAGTGTCACGTTTCCTTCATAGGATGAGGTGTAGCATAGGTGTTCCTTAAATACTTGCTGGTAACTTCCTTTATTTAGCTAAAATATACTAAATGTGTACTATTTTCCAAATACCATACCCCCTGAGGACCTTGACCGTCTTAATGACTGAATAATGTAATGAAAAGTAATTCTTCTAAAGAGATGTTTACAAACTGTTGTGGCGATGTTGGTATTTTAATAGCATTTAAAAACGTATGGAATATAAAATTCTCTATTCATACTTCTAGTCTCATGTTTTTTTGTTTTAGTTGAATGATCTTCTTAGTAAAAAACAAAAAAAAAATTAAAAACAGGTAATGATGGAGCATCTTTGATAGTTGTTTAAAATCCTTATGAGTTTCTGTTGAAGAAATTTGTAGGAAAAAAAACCTCCAAAGTCATCACATGGTATACATTAAATGTGTACTGCTGTTTTGTGTATGTCAGTCATAGCTTTAAAAAGTCGTTTTTTAAAAATAGTCCTAAATTATTCCTAAGTCTGCCATGTCAGCAGTGAGGTTGGATAGAGAGGAAAAATCATTCCATTTCTTTTCAAGAGTGTTCACAGCTCTCCACTCAGCTTTCACTTCCCTGTTATTTCAAACATGAAAATCAATATAAAACCTAATTTCTCCAGTGACTGGTTTATAATCATCTCATTTTCTTCTTTCTTGAATTGACTTTTTTTTTTTTTTGAGACAGGGTCTTGCTCTGTTGCCCAGGATGGAGTAGAGCAGCATGATCATAGCTTACTACAACTTCTGATTCCTGGGCTCAAGCAATCTCCTCAGCTCAGCCTCCCAAGTAGCTGGGACTATAGGTGTGCACACCACCATGCCTGGCTAATTTTTGTATTTTCTGTAGAGTGGGAGTTCTGCCATGTGGCCCAGGCTTGTCTTTAACATGTGGCCAGGCTCAAGTGATCCGTGCATCTTGGCCTCCCAAAGTGCTGATATTATAGGCATGAGCCAACCTTGCCTGGCCAATTATATGATTTTTTTAAATCCTCTTCATTTATCTATTAAAGTCACTTTAAGATAAAAGTAAATAAGAACAAATGGAGCACTTATACACACAACTTATAAAGATGGTGTTTAATAACCATTTTGATTTGAAGATACTTTAGAATAAAATCTCTGCAAGCAAAATCAGAAAGAAAAATGTCACCTATAAATACTTACATGCAGGTAGTGCATAAACAAACGCAAGCATGAAGTTCAAGTCTGTTTTGTTTGTAATATTCCAGGGCTCCACTCATATTTTTATTTCAATTCCTTTCTTGCCACTCCACCCCTGACTTCGCTAAACAAAGCGCCTATTCTAAAATGTTCTTTTAGCAAAACATCCAGTTTACTGTTGACTTTGTTACATAGAAAACACGGGAGAGAGAGCACTTATGATTCTACCTTTGACTATAAACATTACAAAGGACATTATCTGTAATCTCAAATGATCCCTTCACTACTTTTTTCTCCATCAATTTCCTCTGGACAGAGACTTCCTCAGTCTTTAAATTTTGCATGACTAAGCCACATTCTCATTTATTCCTTGTTTTGAAACAGTTTGAGGTTTGTGTACCTTTTGATTTCAACTCAGTTCAAGATTTTTTAACCATTTTTTCCTCAAGGAGAAAAATATTAGGCATTATCTGAATGTAAGTTTGGCTCTTCTTTGTTGAAAACATGCATCTTTTTAGAAAATGTAAATGCTTCTCATCTCTTTCTCTAGAAACCCTAGATGAGCCAGACTTTGTATTTGCTTTTGGTGACCTTGCTCCTTAATTTTTCCACGAAAAAGGTGTATGTGTTTTATATTTATTATCATGATCATCATCATGATTGTAAGATACAAGTTGATATAATTGATCATTTTAGCCATTTTGAAGTGTACAGTTCAGTGACATTATATTTATATGGTTGTGCAACTATCATCACTGCCCATCTCCAGGCCTTTTTCATCATCCCAAACTCAACCTCTCCAACCCTTAAAAATAATTCCTCCATTGCTCCCTCTCCCCAGGCCGTGGTAAGCACCATTCTACTTTCTGTCTCTGTGAATTTGGTGATTCTAGGGACCTGTTCTCATCTCTTCTTCAATCTCTCACAGCTGCCTCGCCTTCCACATGTCCACCTCTAGACTTTTGGCCTTCCCGTTC